GCCTATCATGAGCAATACAATGTGTGAAACTAGGAGGGTCAAACTATGTCGTGGGAGGATATACATATATAGACTGAGTGTTTCCTCACACACTGACTACTGGAGAAAATGTTTCACATGTTTGCTTTGTTCTGTTTGTGCTGCTGGAGTCTGACTGGTAAGTTAAAATACATATTTTTTGGTTTAGTTTAGCGAAAAAGCTGCTAATTCAGGTCTCTGTTGAAGACAACAAAATTTCCAGCTCTAGAAATGTCATAAAAATAAAATGTTAAAAGTCATGGAATTCTCTTTATGTAAATGTCTCAGTGTATGGTCTGCATGGAGGCTTAGAAAGCCAAAACATTTCAATTTCTATCAAATATCAGTAGATTTTTATCCTTTAAAAAAAAATACATTTCTAAAACTACAAGTTTAAAAATAGAGCTACAAAACTCATTGGTCAAAATATGCAGGAACCCAGAGAGAGATGGTGATACAAGGGGAGTTTGGTTTACTCGTAAGTGTCTTATGAAATATCCAACACAAGTAAACTTTTTAATCTTGGCTTAACTGTACAGCAAATACATTTAAAACTAATAAAGATCAAAGCGACACACACACACACACACACGTCTGTCATATCTCACCTTTCATTTTGTGTTTCTGCTGCTGTTGTGAATGTTCGTCAGTTCACATGTAAATGATAAAAACTACAGCTTCAGGATACAGGAAACCATCAGAAACATTAATCTGTGTAAATCTGTGTGTTCATCAGGTGTGTTTGGTGATTCAGTGTCAGTGATGGAGGGAGATTCTGTTACTCTACACACTGATCTTACTGAAATACATGAAGATGATGATATATTGTGGAGATATGGAGCTGAAAACTCTCTGATAGCTAAAATCAGCATTGAGAAACAAAACTTCACCACATATGATGATGTTCCTGATGGGAGATTCAGAAACAGACTGAAGCTGGACAATCAAACTGGATCTCTGACCATCACACACACCACAACTGAACACACTGGAGTTTATAAACTAGAGATAAAGGGAGTGAAAATAACATCAAAAACATTCAATGTTTCTGTCTATGGTGAGTAGAGATCATTTGTCCTGTCTTTTATGCATGGCATCCATATCAAGACTTCTTAATGGATGGTATTTTAATCTATCCTTCGGAATCATGTGTTAAAGACGACTAAAATATTCAAGCAGATCAAAGTTACTATGGTTACACAACACGCTCGAGTTTAGATTGCATACCAGAGGAGAGAGAGAGAGGTTTACAAAACTTTATTTAAAACACTTAATATTCAACAATTAAGATTATTTGCATATATGGAAAATAATAAAAAAAAAAAAAAACACATTAAAATTCCAAAACCAGATTTCCATCATAAACACACAAAGCATCATTAACACACCACAGATCACTGATTCTTGATTTCTTGATTTTTATTTCTTGATAATCCTTGATTTTTCCTGGTTTTCCATATTGCCAATTTCGCAGTTCCTGTGAAATAATTTAACAGTCACATCTTCCTTCTTTTCCTATAAAAACTTCCTCTGAGAAATCTTGAAACAATCTATTAAGGCTCTGGGTGCTTGCTGGTCCACAATCATCACAACTTCACCAATTTGAAGGTTGTCTGATTCTTTTTGCCATTTTTGTCGTTGTTGCAAGTCGGGGAGGTAACGCCGTATGAAACATTTCCAGAAATTTTCAATTAGAATCTGGCTATGGCGCCATCTCCTACGACTGAGCATTTCCGATTCCGGATAAACAACTTGTGGTAATCCAGAAGATGGACGTCCCATGAGGAGGGAATTAGGTGCCACTGGGTCTATATCTGCAATGTCTGAGGAAACATATCCCAATGGTCTGGAGTTCAATATTCCCTCTATTTCCACAAGTACCGTGTTCAGTACTTTCTCTGGCACAGATTGAGAACCAAGAGAGGTACGCAGTGCAGTCTTGATAGATCTAACCTCTCTCTCCCAAGATCCACCAAAACGCGGTGCATTTGGTGGGTTTAGACGGAAGTTCTTCTGTTGAGAAGCCAGATTCTCCTTCAAGATTGGGTGAAGTGCGTTGAAGGCATTGAAGTTCTGTAATACCTCCTTTGAAATTTGTGCCGTCATCAGAAAGCACTTCATATGGTTTCCCTCTGCGAGCTATGAACCTTCTTAACGACATGAGAAAGGAGTCTGTGTCATTGCTCAATAGAAGTTGCTTTGGTAGTAAGGTACTTATGCAGTATTCCCCAACGTTTTTCACATCTGCATCCAAACTTAACCTGGAAGAGGCCAAAACAGTCAATGCCCATTGAATTGAAAGCTGGACGAAACAACCGAAGGTTAGACTGAGGGAAATCCGCCATCATAGCAATTTCTGGCTTTCCTCGCCATTTCTTACATTCAAAGCAGCTGCGCTGGTGTCTTTTTACTGCCTCTCTGCCTCTTACGATCCAATATTTTCGTCTCAGTTCTGCGAACAAGCGCTCAGGTCCTGGATGTAACAGGAGGTTGTCATGATGTTGAATCAAAAGCATTACAAGAGGGTGAGCAGGATCTAAGACAGTGTCTGAGTCCAAGTGCTTACATCTGCGGAGGTGTCCACCTACTCTGACTAATTTGGCTTTGTGATCATACTCTGGGGCTAGAGTTAGAAGACGACTAGTGTGAGATACAGGTTTACCTAACTGGAGTGGGGCTATTTCTTCTGGGAAACTTTCAACTTGAGCACGTCTCAGAAGTTCCTGTTCAGCTTGTTGTATAGTCGTCAGCAGAGAGTTCAGTAGCCTTAATCAGATCTTGAAGTGAATTGTATCAATAGATATCTGGGATTTGACTGGAGGATAGCGCTCCACAGAAAGTATAACTGCGGTGTTCTTGGATGTCATCGCTTACAACATCATGAGGCTGTTTGGGCCAACTACTAACTGACCGAGTCAAGAACTGTGGACCTTGATTCCATCGGCTTTTATCCGTCTCCTCTGGTGTCAGCTTTGAGATATAGCCTGCCTTTTCAAGTTTCTGCACTTCTTTAACATACACTGAAGCAAGATCTATGTTCTGCAAAAGGCGTTTTTCTGTACTTCTTAAATGGGCTGTTACTGCTTCTTTAACTGATTGCAAAGGTGGAAGATTTCTTTTCCAGAGGAGAGGTGTTGCATACTTTGAATGTCTCCAACTGCCAAGGATTTGCACCGCTTCTGTGTCTCACTCCTATACGGAAGCGCGTCCATTTGCCACAATTTCTGTACATTGTTGAACAGTTCGGCTTCTGCTGACAAAGTGGAGGTTAGACACTGTTGTGGTAAGAGATGAATGGCAAGGACTTTTGAGGGGCCCTGCAGAGTCCACCCAAGTCTGGTTTTCACAGCGGCAGGACCGCCAAGAGGTCCGAGGCGTACTGGCTCTGTAGCTGTGATTAAATGAGGATAATCTGAGCCAATGAGTAAGAGTGGTTGAGCCTTCTGCAATGAGGGAATGGGCAGACCTTGTAGATATCTGTATTTCTTCAGCAGCAACTCTACAGGGCAAGTGTGTTTTGCGACGCTCAGTTCTTTGGCTGTAAAAGCTCTTTAAATGGTGAAGGATTTGTTTGGCTGAAATGCAGAAGCTACTGAGAATGAAACAGCCGCCCCAGTTCTTTGGCTGTAAAAGCTCTTTCAATGGTGAAGGATTTGTTTGGCTGAAATGCAGAAGCTACTGAACAACCCGTGACAGAAGCCCCATGAACAACCCGTATGTCTTGTCTCACAGTACGGATGGCTATATCTTCAGGAAGTCATTGAAGATCAAGTTGCTGTGCTGCTTCATACAGTAACATTGTCCTCTCTGATCCGTCATCCAATATAGGCTGACCTTCAAAAGAACTTTGCTGCCTGCAGTTGGTCTGTCCATATACAAAGTCTCTACTTCCGAGTTCACAAGACAACTGTTTTCTGCTGAAGCTTGTGTTTCACGTTTACCTTTGGCATTGAAGTCATGCAGTATTTCTAAATGTCTCTTTTCTCATTTTTTGCATTTGGCTTTAAGATTACATTTTGAGATCTGGTGATCACAGCCACACCTAAAGCACTTCTGATTTGACTTCAGCCAAGACTCCACTTGATCAATTTGAAATTAGCGCACTGATTGAAGTAATGCTGCACAGTGTTGGAGAAGGGGTAGTACTTTGTCGGTTTCTCCTTCTTGACTGCTGTAACACTTGCTGGTTTACTCTGTTCACCACCATGCAAGACAGTAGCAAATCGTTGAACCGGCTTGCAATTCCTTTGCTGTTCTTTCTGTGGCTGAGAGTAGGCTCTGCTTACATTACTAACGTACTGTGACTCATCCTCTTGTATTCTGAGCTCATATTCTAGCCAATCGCTGAGTTCTATCAGTGTTGGAACTGGGTTCTGAATGGGGTTGACAAACCTTCTGAAGTTTGCTTTAAGATCATGAGGCAATTTGGCGAGGAGACGTGAAACATGTGACCCACATTTGAGCTCTGTCCATCCTTTAGCTCCAAGTTGGTCCAGCATTCCAACTAATACAGGCACTTTGAGGGCAAACAATCTAAAAGATTTAGTGTCACCACTCCTGATTTTTGGGCCATCCATCAATTCTGCAATTCTTTGCAGTGCGAGTTGATGTGGTTGACCATAAAGTGCAGTTAGAGACCTCATGGTGTTGGCGTATGGGTACCGGCTGTTGACGTACCAGTCTGCAATGAGCAAAGCATTCTCCTGTTTCAGATGATCAACGAGTATTTGGTACTTGAAACGTTCTGTAGCCTCGGCAGGTAGCAAATTCTCCAGTGCAATTTCGAGTCGTGCAAACTCTCTGGGATCTTCACTGCAAAAATGAGGAATGGTGGGAATAGGACCTCTGTAGGTGGGCTCTACATGAGGATATGGAAGAGAAGGAGGGCGCACCGGGGGGTATGGCTGATACGTCTCAAGCTGAGCGTAATCTGCGTACTGTCGTGGGGTCAAGAAGATTGATTTGCTTGATTAGCACTTGATTTGTCTGTAGGATTAGGAGTTGATTGACCATAGCTGTCTGAGTGTCTCTCATATGCATGGTGAGCCAATGTATCCCTTGGAGTAAGTCTCTCATCTTCATAGATTGGACTTGTAGCTGGAATCCCATGATAAGGTTGCTGAAAACCATATGGTTCAGTGGAAGGGAAATAGCGGACGGGTCTGCAGTTCAGACTATGATCTTTATAAGTCCCATACGCAGCTGCTGTCTCTTGACTGTAGTCCTGAGGCATAAACTGAACAGCTGCGGGATATTGGTTGCGATCTCTTTGGTCAGTGGACATATAGTTATGGCCTCTGTGGTCTGTGTTGTAGTAACCACGTGGTCTATCTCTGTGCCTAATACCAGGTTGAGGATATGTAGCATCTTCTTGATGAGCTAGCTTGTGTTGGGATTGAGTTGGTTCATAAGAAGAGAAAGGATGACTTGAAGTTAGCCGAGTTTCCGAGCCTGGTAGGTCTCAGGTCTCCTAGGTTGTCAGTGAGATCAATCTCTTTGTGACTGACAGAATGAGAATGCAGAAGGTCACCTCGTGAATCTACAGGCAGTGCTCTCATGGGCTGAGAAGGATCATCTTGATCTCTAGGCAGAACTGGCCTGCCCTCAGTGGCTGCTGTATATGGACTTGAGGAGAGAACTCTCTGATCTGCATAAATTATTCGCCTTGGAGAAGTCAGAGTACGGGGCATTGGCCGTGGCGGTGATGGCGATTGGCCGTGGCGGTGATCCTTTCACTTGATCCAGTGCTCATACTTTTCATTAGTTCTGGTCCGCTTTCAATACATGTGAACTCTTTAAATGCAGGCCTTTTACCTTGCTCAGATCCAGTGGCACCATTTGTAGGCTGTTCATCAGAATGAAGTAACTGATGTGGCACTGTGTAATCAACATAGAAGTCAAGTATCTTGGTGGGATGACCTGTCGACGTGGTCGAACCACTGGTGGCACTGACGTAGCCTGTCTTCCTGTTCTAGACATGGTAATGCTGTAGTAGCTGTCTGCTCCAGCTCGAAGGACCAAATTTTGTATGAAAGTTGTTGAGGTGCGGATCTTAAACTGGGTGACAACCGCTACAGATTGTTCAGGCAGAACAATCACATGGTCCATGTCCACAATAAAGTTTTTTACTGTTGTCTTTCGATTCATACATCAGTATGGGTGTGGTTCTAAAAATGAACAATAATAACAATAATGAATATAAACACAATGAATCAGAAACAGTAATAACTGATAAGATAAAGACATATTATACAAGTCCAGCAGCTGTAAGTTTCCTTAGGTTTATACACATTCACTTTAAATAAATTATCAGATGAAACCGAATTAAACATTTCCACATAATAATCAAAAGGTAACATTCAAAGTCTAATTTAGCGTTTTATGCTGAAATGAATGTTCTTTTGAGGTAGTCCATGCACATGTAAGCTTGATCGTACAAACAAACTTTTAGTACTGCAACGTAACATAACCACAAATAAATCTACTAATATATACATGAAAGAGTATTTTACTACATACTTTTAAGATGTACGCACACAGTATTCCAGTTAGATTCGTGTTTGTTGGGCCAGTTGCTCCCCTCCAAGAGATGTACAGCTTTGTTTGTAAAGGACACCATTGCAGATTTTGACACCATTACATCTGCGAGAGAAAGTCCAAACAACAGTGAAGAATATCAACTTTCCAGCTTAAAGTGCATGTCTTCTAAAGATGATAGAGTATATGGTTCAGATCAGCCAATAGCTCACCTGTTCCCTCCTCAGTAACATTCACATTTTGAAGAAATGTGTCTTGCATGTGGTCTTCAAATTTGGTGTTGAAAAACACTGACGCATCAACAGTAAGAGAGGCACAGCCCGTGGCATTCACCTGGTAGGAGAACAAAGACACAATTAAGTCAAGCACATGCAAAAGGAAAACCCACAGCAGTAAGGCAGGAGTCACACACCTTTGCGGTTTGAGTCAGGCACTGTCTGGTCAAATTATGAAGCAGACTGTATGAAAATGGATTACGGCACACCTTCCACTAAGGCTTGACCAGGTACAGGTTGGCCATATGTGTATCTGGGAAACATCATAACAAGATAAAGAACTGACCAACCACAAGACAAGAAAATAAAGCATCACTCACTTGGCACAAGATTCAACTTTCAGTCCCATAACTGCAACGCTGTAGATCTGCAGTCCGTTTACGGTCACATCAAACTTGGGCAAAACTAAAACCAGAAACAAAGCACTTTAGATTAAGGCCTCAGATCTGTCATTGAACTTCCCTCACACAACAACTTACCATATTTTTTCACCTCAAAGACTTGGGAGACTAGTGTTGGGACTCTTCACTCCATGGCTTCTCCATTCTGCGGCGCCTAGGTCTTTGTGTCTGATGGACGGACAGACGGACGCACGCACGAACGGACGGACGCACGGTCGCACGGACGGACGGACGCACGGTCGCTCGCACAGACGGTCGCACGCATGGACGGACGGACAGACAGACAGACAGACGGACGGTCGCACAGACGGCCGGAGTAAACTAAAGTGGCATTCTAATCAGAAGTGCCACACACTGAAATATTCAGATTAAAAGCCCAAACAAAAAACCTGATTGAGGCACTCAGACACCCTTTCAGCACTCAGACGTCTTCCTGGCTCCATGATCCTGGCTCCATGATCCGGACGCTCTGATTTACAGCACTGAGGCCACACAGAGATCCTGCTTGAGCAGAAACCTTCAGAACGTTTCCCTCCGCAGGAACAGCCGTAGCTGGAGAAAACTGCAGAGACACCTGGAACGAGGACCAACACGCTGTAGGACACACACCAACATACCCAAATTGAAAAATAGCCACATCATACAGTACCTGGTTCTGGAAACACGTATCGGTGTCAAACGGCACACTAGCAGCAACTACATTCTCACTGGGAAGAACGCTGTAGACCGGAATCTGCACTGCTGGAGCCATATCGACGCTGACAGACAACTGGAACGTCACAGAGCCACTTGTGACTGCATCAATCAAATCCATGGAGGACGATCACTCCTTTGGATGAGACCTGACAGAAGACATAGGTGTTCAAGTTGCGGAACAAACAGACCAGCAAACTTAACTACAAAACTAATGTCCACTCACCATATAGATTATGTCAGCGCTGTAGCTTCCAGCCTCTCCAACAAATGAATAACTCCACGGTCACTGGAAATGAAGCACCACATTTGAGCGTCTGATAGAGCTTCACTATAGTCAGTTCACTAAACGATGGGTTGTTGGGAGAAACAGGTAGGAGGAGCTGTACAAACCTTGTATCTGTAGTGAAGTATGGCAATTTACAACCATAAAAACTCTGGATTAGCACTCGCCTGGGGAAGATCAACCTTAATCAGCATCATGTTAGAGAAAGTCTTAATTTTTACAAAATACAAGTCGTACCACCAGATTCAGATCAGCCTTAAAATTGTTTAGGGAGACCGCAGCCCGTCCATTCTTGTTTGTGGTTCGATTCAACAGCAGTTTGTTGGGCCAGTTGCTCCCCTCCAAGAGATATACAGCTTTGTTTGTAAAGGACACCATTGCAGATGGACACCATTACATCTGTGAGAGAAAGTCCAAACAAACAGTAATTAATATCAACTTTGTGTCTTAAAGTGGATGTCTTCTAAAGATGATAAAGAGTACATGGTTCAGATCAGCCAATAGCTCACCTGTTCCCTCCTCAGTAACATTCACATTTACAAGAAATGCGTCTTGCATTTGGTCTTCAAATTTGGTGTTGAAAAACACTGACGCATCAACAGTAAGAGAGGCACAGCCCGTGGCATTCATCTGGTAGGAGAACAAAGACACAATTAAGTCAAGCACAGGCAAAAGAAAAACCCTCAGCAGTAAGGCAGGAGTCACACACCTTTGCGGTTTTAGTCAGGAACTGTCTGGTCAAATTATGAAGCAGACTGTATGGAAATGGATTACGGCACACCTTCCACTAAGACTTGACCAGGTACAGGTTGGCCATATGTACATCTGGCAAACATCAGAACAAGATAAAGAACTGACGAACCACAAGACAAGAAAATAAAGCATCACTCACTTGGCACAAGACTCAACTTTCAGTCCCATAACTGCAACGCTGTAGATCTGTGGTGCGTATAAGGTCACGTCAAACTTGGGCGAAACTAAACCAGAAACAAAGCGCTTTAGATTAAGGCCTCAGATCAGTCATTGAACTTCCCTTACACAAACAACTTACCGTATTTTTTTCACCTCAAAGACTTGGGAGACTAGTGTTGGGACTCTTCACTCCATGGCTACTCCATTCTGCGGCGCCTAGGTCTTTGTGTCTGATGGACGGACAGACGGACGCACGGACGGACGTTCGCACGCACGGACGCACTCACGGACGGACGGACGGTCGCACGCACAGACGGTCGCACGCATGGACGGACGGACAGACAGACAGACAGACGGACGGTCGCACAGACGGCCGGAGTAAACTAAAGTGGCATTCTAATCAGAAGTGCCACACACTGAAATATTCAGATTAAAAGCCCAAACAAAAAACCTGATTGAGGCACTCAGACACCCTTTCAGCACTCAGACGTCTTCCTGGCTCCATGATCCTGGCTCCATGATCCGGACGCTCTGATTTACAGCACTGAGGCCACACAGAGATCCTGCTTGAGCAGAAACCTTCAGAACGTTTCCCTCCGCAGGAACAACCGTAGCTGGAGAAAACTGCAGAGACACCTGGAACGAGGACCAACACGCTGTAGGACACACACCAACATACCCAAATTGAAAAATAGCCACATCATACAGTACCTGGTTCTGGAAACACGTATCGGTGTCAAACGGCACACTAGCAGCAACTACATTCTCACTGGGAAGAACGCTGTAGACCGGAATCTGCACTGCTGGAGCCATATCGACGCTGACAGACAACTGGAACGTCACAGAGCCACTTGTGACTGCATCAATCAAATCCATGGAGGACGATCACTCCTTTGGATGAGACCTGACAGAAGACATGGGTGTGCAAGTTGCGGAACAAACAGACCAGCAAACTTAACTACAAAACTAATGTCCACTCACCATATAGATTGTCAGCGCTGTAGCTACCAGCCTCTCCAACAAATGAATACTCCACGGTCACTGGAAATGAAGCACCACATTTGAGCATCTGATCGAGCTTCACTATAGTCAGTTCACTAAACGATGGGTTGTTGGGAGAAACAGGTAGGAGAAGCTAAACAAACCTTGTATCTGTAGTGAAGTATGGCGATTTACAACCATAAAAAACCTCTGGATTAGCACTCGCCTGGGGAAGATCAAACTTAATCAGCATCATGCTAGAGAATGTTACAAATCTCTATTACAATGACATGTTACAAAATACATGTCATACCACCAGATTCAGATCAGCCTTAAGATTAGCACTGTTTATGGAGAACCCAGCCCGTCCATTCTTGTTTGTGGTTCGATTCAACAGCAGTTTGTTGGGCCAGTTGCTCCCCTCCAAGAGATATACAGCTTTGTTTGTAAAGGACACCATTGCAGATGGACACCATTACATCTGCGAGAGAAAGTCCAAACAAACAGTAATTAATATCAACTTTGTGTCTTAAAGTGGATGTCTTCTAAAGATGATAAAGAGTACATGGTTCAGATCAGCCAATAGCTCACCTGTTCCCTCCTCAGTAACATTCACATTTACAAGAAATGCGTCTTGCATTTGGTCTTCAAATTTGGTGTTGAAAAACACTGACGCATCAACAGTAAGAGAGGCACAGCCCGTGGCATTCATCTGGTAGGAGAACAAAGACACAAGAAAGTCAAGCACAGGCAAAAGAAAAACCCTCAGCAGTAAGGCAGGAGTCACACACCTTTGCGGTTTTAGTCAGGAACTGTCTGGTCAAATTATGAAGCAGACTGTATGGAAATGGATCACAGAACACTTCCACTAAGACTTGACCAGGTACAGGTTGGCCATATGTACATCTGGCAAACATCAGAACAAGATAAAGAACTGACCAACCACAAGACAAGAAAATAAAGCATCACTCACTTGGCACAAGACTCAACTTTCAGTCCCATAACTGCAACGCTGTAGGTCTGTGGTGCGTATAAGGTCAAGTCAAACTTGGGCGAAACTAAACCAGAAACAAAGCGCTTTAGATTAAGGCCTCAGATCAGTCATTGAACTTCCCTTACACAACAACTTACCGTATTTTTTTCACCTCAAAGACTTGGGAGACTAGTGTTGGGACTCTTCACGCCATGGCTTCTCCATTCTGCGGCGCCTAGGTCTTTGTGTCTGATGGACGGACAGACGGACGCACGGACGGACGTTCGCACGCACGGACGCACTCACGGACGGACGGACGGTCGCACGCACAGACGGTCGCACGCATGGACGGACGGACAGACAGACAGACAGACGGACGGTCGCACAGACGGCCGGAGTAAACTAAAGTGGCATTCTAATCAGAAGTGCCACACACTGAAATATTCAGATTAAAAGCCCAAACAAAAAACCTGATTGAGGCACTCAGACACCCTTTCAGCACTCAGACGTCTTCCTGGCTCCATGATCCTGGCTCCATGATCCGGACGCTCTGATTTACAGCACTGAGGCCACACAGAGATCCTGCTTGAGCAGAAACCTTCAGAACGTTTCCCTCCGCAGGAACAACCGTAGCTGGAGAAAACTGCAGAGACACCTGGAACGAGGACCAACACGCTGTAGGACACACACCAACATACCCAAATTGAAAAATAGCCACATCATACAGTACCTGGTTCTGGAAACACATATCGGTGTCAAACGGCACACTAGCAGCAACTACATTCTCACTGGGAAGAACGCTGTAGACCAGAATCTGCACTGCTGGAGCCATATCGACGCTGACAGACAACTGGAACGTCACAGAGCCACTTGTGACTGCATCAATCAAATCCATGGAGGACGATCACTCCTTTGGATGAGACCTGACAGAAGACATGGGTGTGCAAGTTGCGGAACAAACAGACCAGCAAACTTAACTACAAAACTAATGTCCACTCACCATATAGATTATGTCAGCGCTGTAGCTACCAGCCTCTCCAACAAATGAATACTCCACGGTCACTGGAAATGAAGCACCACATTTGAGCGTCTGATCGAGCTTCACTATAGTCAGTTCACTAAACGATGGGTTGTTGGGAGAAACAGGTAGGAGAAGCTAAACAAACCTTGTATCTGTAGTGAAGTATGGCGATTTACAACCATAAAAAACCTCTGGATTAGCACTCGCCTGGGGAAGATCAAACTTAATCAGCATCATGCTAGAGAATGTTACAAATCTCTATTACAATGACATGTTACAAAATACATGTCATACCACCAGATTCAGATCAGCCTTAAGATTAGCACTGTTTATGGAGAACCCAGCCCGTCCATTCTTGTTTGTGGTTCGATTCAACAGCAGTTTGTTGGGCCAGTTGCTCCCCTCCAAGAGATATACAGCTTTGTTTGTAAAGGACACCATTGCAGATGGACACCATTACATCTGCGAGAGAAAGTCCAAACAAACAGTGAATAATATCAACTTTGTGTCTTAAAGTGGATGTCTTCTAAAGATGATAAAGAGTACATGGTTCAGATCAGCCAATAGCTCACCTGTTCCCTCCTCAGTAACATTCACATTTACAAGAAATGCGTCTTGCATTTGGTTTTCAAATTTGGTGTTGAAAAACACTGACGCATCAACAGTAAGAGAGGCACAGCCCGTGGCATTCATCTGGTAGGAGAACAAAGACACAATTAAGTCAAGCACATGCAAAAGAAAAACCCTCAGCAGTAAGGCAGGAGTCACACACATTTGCGGTTTGAGTCAGGCACTGTCTGGTCAAATTATGAAGCAGACTGTATGGAAATGGATCACAGCACACTTCCACTAAGGCTCGACCAGGTACAGGTTGGCCATATATATATATATATATATGGGAAACATCATAAGAAGATAAAGAACTGACGAACCACAAGACAAGAAAATAATGCATCACTCACTTGGCACAAGACTCAACTTTCAGTCCCATAACTGCCACGCTGTAGGTCTGCAGTGCGTTTACAGTCACGTCAAACTTGGGCAAAACTAAACCAGAAACAAGCGCTTTAGATTAAGGCCTCAGATCAGTCATTGAACTTCCCTTACACAACAACTTACCGTATTTTTTTCACCTCAAAAACTTGGGAGACTAGTGTTGGCACTCTTCACTCCATGGCTACTCCATTCTGCGACGCCGCAGCCTGGTCGCAGTCACCTAGCTCTTTGTGTCTCACTGCCTCATCGCTTCTCTGGCTACGTGGTGTGCTCCACCTCCAACACCTCCGGCAATCCCCTTGGTAGTGTTGGGACTCTTCACTCCATGGCTACTCCATTCTGCGACGCCACCATGGGATGCAGTCCTGACTGTGGGCTGGGTCTCCGTCGGCTTTTCCCTGCTCAAGGCCACCCCCCCCGGCTGTCACCACCACCTGCACCACCTTTCCTCCAGCTACGGACGGCCGGCCGCCGTGTGATGCAGTCCTGACTGTGGGCTGGGTGTCATCTGCTCTTCCCCGGACGCTTGGGCGGACGCTTGGACGGACGCTTGGACGGACCGGACGGACGCTTGGACGGATGGGACAGACGCTTGGACGGACAGACGGACGGGACGGACGCTTGGGCGGACGGACGGACCGGACGGACACTTGGACGGACGGGACGGACGCTTGGGCGGAACGGACGGACCGGACGGACGCTTGGACGGACGGGACGGACGCTTGGGCGGACGGGACGCTTGGACGGAACGGACGGACGGAAACGGACGCTTGGACGGACGGACGCTTGGACGGAACGGACGGACGCTTGGACGGAACGGACGCTTGACGGGACGGGACAGACGCTTGGACAGACAGACGGACCGACGGGACGGGGACGCTTGGACGGACCGGACGGACGCTTGGACGGATGGGACAGACGCTTGGACGGATGGGACAGACGCTTGGACGGACAGACGGACGGACGGACGCTTGGGCGGACGGACGGACGGACGGACGCTTGGACGGACGGACAGACGCTTGGGCGGACGGGGACGGACGCTTGGACGGAACGGACGGACGCTTGGACGGAACGGACGGACGCTTGGACGGAACGGACGGACGCTTGGACGGAACGGACGCTTGGACGGATGGGACAGACGCTTGGACAGACAGACGGACCGACGGGACGGACGCTTTGGCGGACGGACGGACCGGGCGGACGCTTGGACGGAACGGACGGGCACTTGGACGGAACGGACCGGGCACTTGGACGGAACGGACGGACGGAACAGACGCTTGGACGGACGGACGGACGCTTGGACGGAACGGACGGACGCTTGGACGGAACGGACGCTTGGACGGAACGGACGGGACGACTGACTTACTTCCGCCCATCACATTAAAAGTTCACATTAAGTAACAAAAGTTAGTATAGACCGTTACAAAAAAAGACTACATTTTATTCAACAGCTAGCAATTTCCACGTCCCTTAGACTAGTTAGGGACATTGAAACTGCAAGCCATTGGATAAAATGTAGTCTTTTGTGTTGTAATGGTCTATACTAGCACCCGCAGGCATCCGTACGGAAGGAATGCGGCTTAGCTGGAGGACAATAAAAAGCCGAAGAGAACCATGCAAAAGGTTGGTGCAGATGGTGGTGACAGCCAGGGGGGATGGCCTTGAGCAGGGCAGGGCAGACGGAGACCCAGCCCACAGTCAGGACTGCATCCCTCGGCGGCGTCGCAGAATGGAGTAGCCATGGAGTGAAGAGTCCCAACACTACCAAGGGGATTACCGGAGATGATGGAGGTGGAGCACACCACATAGCCAGAGAAGCGATGAGGCAGTGAGACACAAAGACCTAGGCGACCGCGACTAGGCCACAGCGCCGACCCCCTGAAGTGGAAGCAGCGATCCTGAGGTTAGAGGCTGAGCTGCAGCAACCATATGGAGGTTGAACCTGAGGGAGGGCGGAGCTAGTCAAAGGCGAAAGAGGTGGAGAGCCGTAGGGCAGCGAATGGGCTGCAAGTCCATGGCAAAGAAGATGTAATGTCCAACAGAGGGAGGCCGAATGGCCGATGGTCCACACTGGAGTCAAGGGTGTTAAGAGCACATTCTCACTGGGAAGAACGCCATAGACCAGAATCTGCACTGCTGGAGCCATATCGACACTGTCACTTTGTTTACAATTGGAGTCTCATCAAAACGAGTCAAGGATATCTGTTAGGAATGATCAAGATTAGGAAAGGGGAAACAACAAAAAAAACACATGATCATCATCCATTTGATCACTGGATGGCAAACAAACCAAGAGTAGTGGTTCACAAATCTTACTTTCACCATCTATAAAGTTTAGTAAACAACTCCAACATAAAAACAGAATGCTTCTGTTCGCTTCAAAGCCTAATGGTACTTACCTGGTTCTTTAAGTCCATCAACAGCAAAGAGAAAAAGGGTGAAAATGAGCTTCTTCCAAACACAAATCTCCCTTACAGCCATGAGGACAGCTCACCCAAGACTAACCCTTATCAAGCCACTCTTCAGACTCTAATATATCAGGAACGCATTCATCTCGTTAATTCAATTAATTAACCACCACCTGGTAGTAGCCTAATTAATGTTATCATTTGATTAGGAGTTCCAATTGGCATTGATTTGAAACACGACATATTATGGAGGTTAGCGGACGAATTTTCTAGTTGCCATATATCAACACTATAGAATTTAAAAAATATAAAGCCTACACTCTAAAAAATGCTGGGTTGTTTTAACCCAATTTTGGGTCAAATATGGACAAACCCGAAATGTTGGGTTAAAAATATAATGTAAAAATTTAACCCAACGGCTGGGTTAGTCCATATTTGACCCAAAGTTGGGTTAAAACAACCCAGCATTTTTTAGAGTGTATATATTGAAGATATTACTGAACATTTATTTAACCATAGCAAAAGTAAGTTTCTTGTGTTCATTTTAAAGTTGATATTATTTCATCTTATATCTGTTAATTAACAGTTGCGATAGTTTTTGAATGCTGGTGTGACGGCAGAAGACTGACTAGCCGGGTTTTAATCTTATATTTAAGAGAACTTTGTCCCAGTTGTGCAGGGGGGCATGTTGTCACACTGCGTTGCAATGAGCAAATGATTAAAATAATTGCTTTTCTACTCTATACTTGTATGAACTCAATTGAGAAACCACGAGAAAAGGGTGAATAAATTCTGAGATTCAATGTTCAGAAATTATAAATAGAGGAATGCGTGTGACGTCACCATTGGCCGGAGTGTCTGCAGTTCCTCACAGTGAGTCTCAGTCATGAAACATTCGTAAATATACGAGTAAATATGAGAGTGATTTGCGCGTAAAGAGACCTTCCCGAAAACTCTTCTCATGATTTACAAATACATCGTAAACGTCAGATGTCATAGTAAAATGTGTGTGTTAATGAATTCCAACCTGTCGTAAATGGGATGCGCGTGCATTCTCAATTACCATAAATCAAGTCCATCATATCCGACTGACATCTAAATAGGCATATAATAACATGAATGCGAATTTGATTTGTCAAATTCATCTTTGTCACTGGCACAAAAATCACGTTACAAACCACATAAAAAAATAAATAATTAACATACTCTTATGTGGATAGCAGATGAACCCAATTGTAGACAGTATGCAAACACACAACGTTTATTGATAACAGAAAACTGGGAAAACAAAACCCACGAGGGGGAAAACAACACTGGTAGGGAAAATAAAGACTAATAAAACTTTCACATACAGGATTTTTACAAGATCACAACAAGACAATACTCACAAGGTATAGACATGGCACGTGGCACAGGACAGCAAACACAAGGGGATCAAATAGGGAGAAACAGACATTGACAGCAGGTGACATAGATGAAGCAATGATGACAAAACGAGGGTAACAAGCACAAGGGGGTGGGGCCAGAACACACACTGCCCAAACACAAGGCCATGTGCCTGCACACAAAACAAGGATCTGTCATGATCCTGCCTCAAGAGTAGGACAAGAGGGCAGAATCATGATTCATGACACATACATAAGTTAAATTACTACAGTATGTGCAAATTCACACACCTCAATTGAGAATTGAGTTTAAAACAGTCACTGCCAAAAATGATCTCTTATAAATATTCCTCTTGGCGAGCGGTATCCATAGCCTGCGCCCCGAAGGAAGGATCTTGAAGCAGGAATGGGGGGGATGAGTCTGGTCTGAATATATTGATAATGCCATTTTCTCAAAAAAAAAAAAAAAATTGTGAATAGCTCTTGTGCTCCGTTTCTGGCCGATGATCTTATTTGCTTCATTGATTACTCGTGTTAGTTTCACTAGCCACTGTTTCACTGTAATACCATGAAACAATATTATAAGTTAAAACACTTTCAATCATTCAATCATTGATCTATAAACAGTGGTTAAGAGCCTCCTTTCAATGTCAAAATTTCTTAACTTCCTATAAGTAGACTTATACACTGTCTTCTTACGTAGCCCATACAATCCAAAGGGAAAGATTATCATCAATGATTGTCCCACGATATTTTGCTCTATCTTTACGCCTTTTAACATTATTACAATATATTCCTATTTATATATATTATTTATATATATCTTGTCTGTGTTTGCCCAACTTGCATCATTAAGCCAGTCGGAGGTGACAAGTGACTGTCTTTAGGAGTGCACAATTGAACTTTAACTTAACAGATTAGTGCCAAAAAATATTGATTAGCTAACCTTAGAAAGAAACAAGTTGCTGAAACCAATCTTTAATGCTAATATATAAATTGCTCTTTTTCCTCCGGACACAAAAAGATTGCACTGGTGTTTGATTGAAATAATAATCGTTGATAGAGTTCTCATTAAGGCCATTCCTATTTGAAATTTGTTATTGTGTACCTATTGTCAACAATAAGCAGAAACATTCTGCATTTGCATCCAAGCATGGATCATTCATTTCAACATCCTCATTCTCATATTCAAGAACCTGTAATATTTTATGCTACTGCCCACTGACATGCTTTTAAAGCTATTGTTATACCATTTTTATGACCTTAAAATGCACAAATGTAGGTCTGCTAACTCACCTTTGCATGTGTGTGATAATTTTCTTAACCAGTCTGCCCCCGCGTATAGGCCTGCAATATACATTATTCTCTGTTTCGAGTTATCTTATTCCCCACCCCAGGCCCTGATGTTTCGGGTTCAGCCCCT